TTTTAAATTTATTTATTAGGATGGGATCCAGGTTCCATAGGTTATCATGGTGATAATGGCTGGAAATATATTGAATTTGGGCATGGAATTGTGTACGGACCAACTTTTACAACAGGAGACACAATTGGTTGCTGTGTAAATTTTTACTCTAACGAAATATTTTTTACTAAAAATGGCGTGAATTTAGGTAATTTAAATGTTCACCAGAATTTTTTTATGCAAAGTTAAACGTTTATTAATTTTTATAACAAATTAGGAGCTGCCTGTGCATCAAGTAGAATCGAGCAATTATATCCAGTTGTAGGGATGGAAAGTGCTAATTCTTGGGTCGATGCGAATTTTGGAAATAGGCCCTTCAAATTTGATATCAAACTATATACCGAGGTATGTTTTTTTCTTAAACTATTTTTATACAAATTAAATATTAAAGTAAATATCTGTTTTTTTTTTTTTTTGCCCGGCATTATAGACATTTAAATCACAAGATGGTTTCTTAATGTTGTAAAATAAATTACATTTAGACTAGGGCATTTATTAATCAATTATCATCAAATGTACCATGGTATTTTAGTATATATTAAGTTCTATATACATGTACTATCAGTTCTCTATAATTTTAATTAAATTTTCTCTAAATGCAAGACCCTCTTTTGGCCGGGGTATATGTAGCAATATGGATTTCACCTTCTCAAATGTAATTTTTTTTTAAACCACATCAGTGATACTCAACATATTTCTTATAATAATTTTTTTGTTATTAAAATATGGCGTTAGGCTAAAAGTTAAAATAAGATTGGAAGATTAAAAGTTCGGCCTGGAACTAAAGTTGTTTTTTTTTTTTGGAATGTTAAGCATCTGTTTGCTGTATATGTGTGTTATCATAGGATGATTTTCATATGACTGGCTGTTCAAGTCTACTTAATTTTATATTATTTATACAGTTTGAAATATTTTTTTTAAAAAAATAAAACTACAGAGAATAAATGAAAAAAAGCATATGAGCTTAGTAGGCATTATCGGAACTTAAAACTCCACTATCAAAAGCACTTTTTGTTTGAGAAGTTAGTATGGTAATAACCTATTTCAATCTATTGTTACGAAGTTGTTATGATGCTAGCTTCTTTAAAACAAAAAGGAATTTGATCATTTTCAATAGCAACCCTAATAAAACTTTCTACATACTTTTTTTCATTTATTCTCTGTAGCTGGACTTTTTAAAAAAATACTTTAATAAATAATGTAAGATTTAAACAGCCAATAATATTAAAGTCGCTCCGTGATGTATATTATTATTTTTTAAAATTTTATTAGTTAAACTAAATTTTTGCAAAATTTTAATATAAACTGTCTTTTTCTAAGTTCTAAACTTAATTTTATTCTTATATTAAATATAAATAGAGTTATTAATAAAAGGTATAGTATACAAATATGTAAATTAATTCTCTTTAATTATCTACAGTAATGCAGTATTAATCAATTTAATAATTGATTTGTTAGATACAAGCTTTGATAGAAAGGTAATATAGTAGTATCTTATATGTAATACAAATTTGAATTCTGTCAAAATTGTAAAAAATGAATTCCAGTTAGCTAACGTGTTATAGGCAGCATTAAAATGTTTCTAATACTTTTACTATATATGAGTTTCTCTATACAGCATTTTATTCTTCAGCAAACTACCAACTCAATAACCATTGGTGATAAATTTGGTTTTATAAGAAATGTAGCGGACAAAAAAATGCAAATTGCGCCTGATATGGCACAACATAGTGATAACTTTGTGTCAAACAGGCGACCTTCAGAAAAGAGTACAAGGATGAACAAATAGAAATAAAGACATCGATAATCGCATTAAAGAATTTCATCTTTAGATCGAAAATCGGTTCACAGCTTTTTGTCATTATGTTTATGGATATATTATGTATGGCTGTATATTGAATTTAGATATTGAATTTAGATAGGCGTCTTTGAAGCATAAAAGTAGGTCATAATGATACGTATCTTGTTAGGGTGTCCCATATCAGTCTAATTACAAACATAGTGGAGGTTACATAGTGATGATCACTAATTAATTTTTTTTCTAATAAAATTTTTCGGATCTGCACGCTATATTAAAAAATAGACTTTACTTCGCCTTTAATTCCTCTCGTAATATTTAACATTTTTTAATTCTATAAAAACGAAACATTTAATAAAAGGTGACTTTATATCGTAACAACGTTAGATTTTTACTTATCTTTTAATAAACAACTAAAATCTGCTAAAATATATTAAAAAGCTATTTATTGTCGTCGGGGATATTAGTTTCTTGCAAATTTTCGTTAAAAAACAAAAAGATTGACCGAATTCGAACAAAACCTAGTCCAACTATTTAAAATATATAATTTAAATTTATTTTTTTTAGAATTAAGAATATAGAGAAATATTACCAACTTGGCTAAAGATCTATCATACAATAGCTTTTAACGGTTACAAGCGACCACTATCTATAATAATTAATACCGACGTTACAACCTGTGTTTGGGTTTGAAAGTTTAGCTTTATAACCTTATATCATTTTATTAATATATTTTTTATAGGGCTATATATTAATTCAAGAAAACCTTAAAAATCTAGTTTACAAAGCAATAACACAACCTTGTAAGAATGTCAAAATAAAGGATGAACCATTATATTATACAGGTTTCATTATTAGGATTGTAATTAGTTTTACGTTTCCAGGTAAAAAAACTGTTAAGAATTTCATATACTTGTTTTTCTCTGGAATTATTGTTATTTTCTAAATTTTTACTAGTCTCAGACTTTTTTATATCTTGCCGAATATTTCACAACATATCTTGAGAAATATCTTGAAGTCCACCGCCTAAGCCAGAGAGTTGGATGCGTGATTCTTGTAACTGAGCATCCATATTTGGATGAACTTTTATATCGTAATGATTAAATAATCCCTCCAATTGTTGTTGATATATCGCAATGCTCCATATGCGAAATTTAATGCATTTATATATTAGAGGGAATTGTATTAGTTTTGTTTTGTCAGAATTTGCAAATGTTTCAAACTCTTCAAAAAAATCACATTGTGATAGCGCTTTCAATAGTCCAAATGTAGCTGAACGTTCATTAAACAAATCCTCCTTCAAAAGCTCAACATATGAAATTTCTCTTGAGGTAGAAATTTTTAATGAATCTTTATTAAAAAAAACTTTTAAAAAGGCACATGCGAACTCTGGCCCACTTTCTCTACCCAATCGACAAATACTTAAAGGCAAGTGAATCCAAATATTCATCCACTTAACAAATCCATTTAATGCATTTTCCATCCCTATACGTAATGATTCATGAAAATTTTCAAAATCGATTATATTCAACTCATTCTCGGCATCAGCTAATTCATCCCTGAATAACTTGTAAATATCTTTTAAATAATGTTGAAGCTCTTGAATCCAGAAAATATTTTATCTGGCATTTTATGTACATGGTTACCTGATGGAAGAGTGCTTATTTTATTTGGCTGATAGATTTGTGGAGTTGGGTCATGTCTGATTAAAAAATTATAAATGGGTTCATAAAACTCTTGACTGAATTTAACAAGGCATCGTATTTGAAGATTAAGTCATTTATCCGTAAGCCATTTAAGAAAAGTTTTCTATTTATGTAAGTATGATTTTGGAACATTTTTGGCGTTGTCAAGTTGTTTGATGAAAAATTGTGCAAAACAAATATGAGTTTTGTGTCTATCAAGGTATTGTTTTGCAGTTTTAAGTTCAAATAACCACTGTTGGCGAATAGGTTGTTGATACTTGCTTATTTCAAAATTAAAAGGCGCTTTATTAAGTTTTTTATTATTTCAGATTTTAGATTTAACAGGCTGTCCTTATCTGAAAGATCGTATCCATCATGAAGGTGAAAAGCAAGATTAAGTAAATTAAATGGATGTTCTTTTAATGATAATCCCTTAATAGTATCTAACTTTTCAAATGCTTTATTTTCAAAATTCATTAGAGCAATATGGGTTGCGTGTAATCCACAAGGTATTCAAAATGATTTGGAAGCTACTAATAAATTAAATTTAGCAATTGCACTATTGGCCTCTGAAGATATATATGCCGTATTGTCGGTTAGCCAAAAATAACATATTTGGGGATCAATTCCTTTTTGTTTACACATTTCATATACCGTAGTCGAAATTGTTTCTGCATTACAATGTGTTATATCAGTTACTTTGGCAATGGTAATTATTGGCTTTTCTTTAATATTATTCCAATATGAAAAACAAATAATTAATACTTTCTTTTCACCCCACATACTTTTATCGGCCATAATACCATAACCAAAAAATCTAGAAGAAGTCTCTTTAGGACTATTTTGATTAGAAGTTATAGCTGCGATTTCATTATTCTATCGTGACAAAGTCATTGATGTTATCCAATATTGTGGCATCTCTCTAATCAAAAATTGATATATGGCTTTAATACATTCTACTGTTGCGTGTATTGAGGTTTGCCCTATATTACTTATATCAGCAGCTAATTTTACAAAATTGGC